TTCGTTGTGTTTTTACCCGGACTTTATTTGAATGACCATTTAATAAAGATACTAAGTATTTTATTTTGAGAGTTGCTCAAAGAGTGAGGCTTGTATAGCTAAAGCGAGGGGTATGAGCGCAAAGAATGGTTGAAGTTGACCCACGTAGTGCATGGACTTTTGGTTGAATCTTTGATGTGATTGCAGGTATGTTTGGTTGTTCGGACTTTGGATTTGACTGCCTGCGATCATATATATATATATATGGCTGAGAGGAGTCCTACTGTGATTGTGAGAAGTGGTCGTCACATATTTATAACCCTCTCTATATATGTAAATACATATGTCTTGAGTGTTTCGCGCGGCCTACTGTGACCGCGCGTAAGGGTTAAACAAATTATGTTTTTGAAAGAAAAGGGTGATCCCCTGTTATCCTTTGCTTTTTAGAGTTTTTGTAGTTGGACGTTGTAGTCCATGGCAGCCGTCAAAGTCAAACCCCTTGAGTTCTCTTCAAGCCCTGGATGATGGAGCTGCTCTTCAGGGGCAATAAGAGACGATTGTCACCACAAGCATGAACCTGTGTACCACCCACTTTCCGTAGGATGCAGAAGAGGGTGTGGCTCTCAACCGCATTTAGCGGTTGTCTAGCGTCGAGAGATAAACCCCTCAAGGCGTGTGTCAGCTGACACTTGAGTGTCGAATGCGACCCTCGAGATTAACGAGGACCGCATGAGTATGGGTACTAGATAGTACGCCATCATTGCGACTGCTTGCATATGCATGCATTGATAGTCGATATGAGAAGACCTTGCGTCCGCGTGGTTTTATACTGAGTCTCGCGTGCGACGCCTATTCGATTTCCGCATCGGAGAATTATGGGATGGCTACTGAAGGGACTACGATTGTGTGCGTTGTTTTGTTTGTGTCGTTTCGTGCGTGTGTGTGTGTTTTAATTTTTATGTTCTTAGAGTGGTGTACGTGTGGTGCGTGGGATGCGTCCTAGTCGACCGATGACGGGTCACGCTTGGGACTTCAGTCCCCCAAGGCGTCGGTTCACGTGCGGGTCCGATAGAGGCGTAAAACCGCTCGTACCCGCTATGCTACAACGAACGAGAAACGCCCTCGGCTGGTCCACCTCTGCAATTGCAACTGATTAACTTTCGTACTGTGGACTGGTAGCTCGACACGGATACGCCCACCGAAGGGAGGTGAGAGCTCCCGTAAGGTGGAGGTAAGTCGTGCCTCACGTTGGCCCTATCCTGTTGTAGGGGCTCGCGAGAGGTATGGCTGGCGCACTCGGCCGAAGCGGCTCGCGAAAGCTCCATGTGTATCGCGACGAGGATTAGACCAACTCCTGTGTGACGCGGCCGGGAGAGTCCCGCCCTGCGCGGCGCAGGACCGATGCGCTCAACAACGCATTCTAGACCAAGTTGAATACTGGGGCCGACAAGAGATTCCTCGGGCGGCTGACGACAAGACCTGGGAAATCCCCACCTGGGCATACCGGCTACTTTACCCTAACGACTCAGTGGTTAGAAAAGTCTTGAATCGGGGACAGGTAATTGAGAAGTTTCCCATGGGGGAAGTAGGAGGGCACGAGTTGTTCACTCGGTGTTGGGAATCGCAAGATAACACGGACTTCGAATGGTGGGTGCAAGTGGGAGAATTTATTAAACTCCTATTTTGAGGACAAGCGGGGGAGGTGGATAGGGAGTTGATAAGGCGTTGTTCCCAGGAAGGGATTGGGAACATCTCCGACCTGGAGATCGCTCGTCTAGCACTAGCGGCTTATGAAGAAAAGCTGGTACGAGATTCCTGGTGGACGTGACGAGCAAAGAATCGGCGGAAAGTAGCTAGGAGGGAGAGTCAAGTAAGGAGGGAGAGAGCTCGGAAGAAAGCGGCAGTAGTAAAGAAGACACAAACACTAGCAGGGAGAGCGAGTAGTAAGGGATGATTAGGTGCATTAAGAGTGAAGTTGAACCTAAACACTCACAATTGCATGGGTTGTCGGACGTGGCAAAGGTAAAAGAGGGGGTGGAACTAGGAATGAAGCTGAGTAGGGAAACTGGAGGGGTGGTAGAGCCGGTGAACATAAGAGATATGGATGAGAGGGGTTCGGATCGGCCTCTTGAAGAGAAAGACACCCCCACGAGGCAGAAAGCGAAAACTGAAATGCATTTGCATAGGGGCTTAGAAACCAGAGTGTCGGCAAGAGCAAACATAACGGAGGCTACGAGGGGCATCCCTGTCAAAACTCGGTGGGCCGATCAGATGGACACGGAAGAAGGTGGGGCCCGATAATGGCGCGGGATAGGACGAGTGGCGGGGGGCCTCAGAGGAATGAGGAAGGCGGTTCCAGAGGAAAAGATTTAATCGAGGAACGAACTTCGGAACCAACCGGAGGTGCGCACCGATGGGCCTGTCGGGAAGTCGACTTTGCTTGGGCCTCTGATGAAATGGCGGGTAGGAACATTGACAGAGCAGGCAGAACATGGCGAGGAGCTGGGTACCAAGGTCCCGCAAGAGAGGACGAGGGGGAAAGAGGCCTCTGAGATGGAGACCCTGGGGGCGACTCCGAGGTCGGCACGCATGGATGAACTGGATCCAGCTTGGTATAAACCCTACGACCCTGTAATAGATGGGCCAGCAAAAGGTCCCTATTTCCGCCGCTATGATGACAGGCGCGTTCCTTACTATGATGTCAATTTGAGAGTAGAGACACTTTATTTCACAGGGAGAGACGTGACAGGGTTCGTTGAAAAGTGGGAGAGTTATGCCTTCTGAAAGAAGTTTTCCGAGAAGGAGCGGATAGATCACTTTATCCAGCACTCGGACCCGGAATTGGACCAAGCCATTAGGGCAATCTACTCCCTTGATGGAAGATGGAGAACCTTCAAATCAAGCTTGTTGAGGACCTTTGCGTGCGATGACCTGATCCCGACGATTGAAGGATTGTGACAGGTGACAAGGGGGGAACAAGAAAGCTTGGTGGCTTTTACTAAAAGGTTCAAAAGACTATGTTAGTACCTGGTGGATAGAGGGATGTTGTCAGAAGTAAATAGGTGCGTAATGTTTATGGTGCACCTACCCGAGGAGAAAAGGAAGTCCTTGAGAAGGCCCCTAGGGACTCCACTTGCTTTGAGAAAGTAGCCGAAGTAGTTTTCACAGGAGGAGGTATGGATGTAAGAGAATACATGAAGGAAAGCCTGGCCCTGGCCCTGAGGCAAAAGCGACGACAGAAAAACGACGGCCAACGCAGGAATGATACACCCCCTTAGGGATTTCCCAGTCAGCGCTGCGGCGGAGGCCAAGAAAATTGGAAGAATGAGCCCGAAGGGGGGGAACCAATGGGTCTGGAGAAATGACCGGGATAGTGGAGGCAAAAGGGAATCAAATTGGGGGAATTCCCACTGGAAGGATGCGAGGGGTGGTCGATGGGGAGACCCTCCTTAAAATAAGCCCTCAGGACCAAGGTTGGAAGAGCACCCAGCAGGGGTCGCTCCCCCGCCTGACGACGGGACTGCAGCTAGTTCGACACCTTCTGCCGAGGCCCGACCGCCCAACCTTGCTCCCCGGAGTAGTTGCGTCTACTGCAACGAGGAAAACCATATTAAGCGTGAATGCCCGCACCTCACGGAGACCCTAAAATTGGGGGTGGTGAAGTTGAATGAAAATAAGTGGGTGGTGTAGACTGATGACGGGGAGCCGGTTTCCTTCTACCCTTCCATGAGAGTGAATGTCGATTGAAGAGTCGCCTTGCAGGAAGAGAAGCTGAAGAAGAGACCTGAGGCTAGTGGGATAGCGGGGATGTCCCAAGTTCAAATGACGGAACCCGAACCGATCAGGGGAGTTTCCATACGGGAGCCCCAAGTTTCCAGCATTAAGTTCATCGAGACTTCACCCGAGGAGGTGGAGATGGACCAATGCTTAAGAGTAAGAACCCAAGCCTGAGCTAACTCTAAAAGGAAGCGGCACCGGGAAAGAACAACGCGAATGGAGATCAACCGATGACGGACGCAGAGATCGAGGAGAAAAAGGAGGCACAAGGGAAGGGCGAAGGGGAGCCCACCTCACCTAGAAGAGAGGGCCGAAGAAATTCAAGATGAAATGTACGCTAGATGAGATAGATATCGTGGCCCCTCTCCGACGAAGTCTGATGCAACCAATGCAATGCACTCTGCTGGAATACTTAGCGGCTAGTAAGAATGTGCAGGAAGAGCTTCTAAGTATCACCAGGAAGATAAGAGTCTCGATGACCCAGGGACCGACTATCTCCAGTAATATGGCATTAAAGGAACGGGCCCCATATGGGACAACACTATCTTCTCGAATCACTATGGAGAGTCTACCGACGAGTTACTTCTTCGCGGAGGAAGTGAAGAGATTCTATGTACTAGGCAGCGACTAGCTCCAGGTTACGGTTAATGGGAGGGACATGAGCGCCCTGGTGGATAACGGCTCCGAATCAATCGTTTGTCAAAATTCTATTGCCAAGGAGTTGGGCTTGGAGATAGATAGGGAAATCGCTATGTCTATGGTGGTTGCGGAGAACGAGTTACAACCAGCGGAAGGGTTTTGTCACAAGTCGGTGATCGAGGTCACGGGAGTAGAGACTAGCATGCCAATCTTTTCAGTAAAGGAGTGTTCATCCGAATTGATACTTGGCCGCACCTGGCTAAGCGCGGTGCACGCTACTACAGTCGACCTTCCCGATGGGAGTCAGATGCTCTCCATCCAATCCCCAGACGAAGTTCGGGTAGTTCTCAGGACTGTGGATGCTCAAGATGAGTGAAACCGCACCAGCATTCCGAAGAAAGGGGGTGATCGGTCCAGGATGTGCCAAACCCGCCTAGAGGAAACCCCTTTTTTCGAAAAGATGTCTCCAAAGGACAAAGTGGAAGTTGAAGAGATTGGGGATCGGATTGTGATCGACGGAGTGGGGTATGAGAAGGAGAGCGAGGATGAGGAGTTCGGAGGATGTATTAGGCTGTCTTTTGGGGGGGAATCCCTCTAGCCGGCAGAGGTAGAAAACGTAAAACTGTAGCGGAAAAAGTAAAACCTGCCACGGTCAGTCGGGAGAGGACCGGGAAGTCCTCAATCTCCGAAGAGGAGATAGCTGAGATTATCAGAAGGCGAAAAGAGGAGGAGGGGCAAAAAATCACTGCCCGCAGGGTAGGAAATATGGATATAGGAGATGAGAACCTTACGGAAGCTGAAAAAGAGTACGTAGTGACGGTCTTGAGAGGTTGTGACAAAGCCATAGCCTTTGATGATTCGGAACGGGACAGGATCGACCCAAGGTATGCTAAGCCAGTGAGGATCCATACGATTCCTCACGTACCATGGAAGGATAAACCCTCGTGGAAATATGCGCAAAAGGAAAAGGAGGAAATAGTCACTTTCATGAAAGAGAAAATCAGGACGTTCATGGCAGAGCCGTGTGAAAACGCCTATGCGAAGAAGTGTTTTTTTATCAGAAAAGGAGGTAGCGACAAGCTTAGGTGGATCCAGGACCTTCGGAGGACGAATGCCATCACCATCCGAGACGTTGGGTCTATACTAGAGGCGGAGCTCTTGGCGGAAGGAGTGGCGGGACGATCAATCTATTCCATTTGTGACCATTTCTCTGGGTACGATGAGATCTCCTTGGATCATCATGATCGACGCATGACGGTCATGCATACTCCATTGGGTTTGGTACAAATGATGGTTGTGCCTATGGGATGAATCAATAGAGTGGTCGTTTTTCAAAGAGCTATGATTGCAGTCCTCAAGGAATTCATTCTGGAAAAAGTGGAAGTTTTTTTTGACGACTTTCCAATCAAAGGACCAGTAGAGAAGGACGAAACGAAGGTCTTTCCCGGGGTTAGTAAAATCGTAGTGGATCACATGACGGACATAGAGGCGGTCCTCGCAAAGTTAGACGACGCCAACCTTACCGTCAGTGGGACTAAGAGCCGATGGACTCTCTTCTATCAAGATATTGGGGTTCATCTGTGACAAGGACGGAAGAAGGCCAGACCCCGCCAAGTTGGAGAAGCTAATTTTGTGGCCATCGCCCTTGAACACAATCACGGAGGTATGACAGTTTTTAGAGGTTGTGGGCTATGGGCGCATTTTTATAAAGGCCTACAGTGACAAGGTTGAACCCCTTCGAAAGCTACTTCGTAAGATTGAGAAATGGGACTGGGGGGAAGATCAGGAGAAGGCAATGGAAATCCTCAAAGTCGATTTCTGTGAGGGAGGCCAAGTGTTGGGGGTCCCTTACTTTGAGGATGAAGAGCATAGGTCCTTCGTAGTGTTTACCGACGCTGGACCGTGTTAAGTAGGGGGACTCCTATTCCAAAAGGACGGGGAACCGGGGGAAGGCAAAGAACGACCCTTAAGGTCGAAAGCAGGACGCTCAACGATATCGAAAGGAACTACAGTCAATTCAAGGAGGTTTTGAGAGTATTACACTGCCTAAAAATCTTTAGGCATTATGTCTACGGTAGGTGATTCCTCCTTCGGGTGGACCAAATTGTGGTAGTTGCCATGCTTCAAAAAGACTTCTCACAGACGGACCCGACAATAGCTCGGTGGCATCAGGCTCTATGATTATAAGGTTGAGAGGATCTCGGGGGCTAATAACCAGGTGGCCGACGGGTTGTCCAGAATTCCAATCCGAGAAGATGACTTCCCCAAGTTGGAGGCAGAAGCTCGTTCGTTGACCAAGGACAAAATTATGAGCGTTGTAGCCAATGGGGTGGGACCGGAGTCCATTCCTGGAGAAGGTACAAGCGGGGGCTCGGAGGAGTTCCTAGCCAACCTCTACGACGAAAAGTATCGGGGAATAGGATTGTACCTAGCCAGTAGACAGGAGGGGACCGAGACCGTGAAGAAGGAAGCTCTCGGATACTGTTTGAAAGGCGGACACCTTTTTAAAAGACCCACGGAGCTGGCAATGCCCATGCGGGTACTCTGTGATCCGGAGGAGAAGAGAGCCGTCATAGAAGAGTTGCACGACGGGGTCATCGGCGGTCACCGCGGGGTGAGGGGGACGTTCGACAAGGTTCAAAACTTTATTGGTGGGACGGGCAATACGCGGAGATTGAGAAATACTGCTCCACTTGTGACGCTTGTCAAAAGAGAGCAACCGTCCGTTACAAGGAGGCCCTTTTTTCGTCATTTCATACCGCGCCGGGGGAAAAAGTCCACATGAATCTAATAACCATGCCAAAAGGGGAAGGAGGGTTGCGGTACATTATCAACGCCCACGATGACCTCACCGGATTCGTGGAAGCTCGGGCCATTAAGAAGACGACTGCGGAGGAATGAGCGATTTTCTCTTAGAATATATCGCTAGGTATGGATGCGTGGGGAAAATCGTCATGGACAGGGGGCCTGAATTCACGAATCAGAAAGTGAAACGGATACTAGAGAGGGAGGGGATCAAGGCGGCTTACACAATCGCTTATGACCCCCAGAGCAATGCGCCAATTGAGCGGGGCATGAAACATTGGTGGAAGCTTTGGCGAAATGGTGTAAGGGTCGGGAGAGTCAATGGCCGCGATTTCTGCGGTATGCCATTTGGGCGGATAACGTTACGGTCAAATCGAGTACTGGCTACCCCCCTTATACCTTGTGGTTCGGTCGACATTGCCCTTTGCCTATCGAATTCCATGTGGACACCTAGACGAGTGTTTCATGGAAGGCCAATTTGACAAGGCGGGAGCTGTTAAGAGCAAGATTGCGGCAGATAGCTGAGAGTCTAGACGCTAGGATGATGGAGGCAGCCCAAAACATCGAGAAAGAAAGAACGAAAGGGAAGGAAAGGTGGGATCAAAACCTGCGCGTCCGACATGTGCCGATAGGGATTGGGGACCTCATTCTGATATACGACTCATCACTAGAGAAGACATGGGCAAGAAAGTTAGCCAATCGATGAATGGACCGTATCGGGTGCTTAAGAGGTTCGACGGGGGAGCATAGTTTCTTGCAGAGTTAGATGGGGCCCGACTCAGAGACCCTGTTGCGGGAGCACATTTGAGGTTTTTTCAACGGAGAGAGATTCTTTAGGCGGACTCAAAAGGGAAAGGAAAGATCGCGATACCCACGGAAGGAGCCATCTGCTATGAAAGAGGCAAGACCTCGAAGCAAGGGTCGTCCCCGAAGGCTCCAAAGAAACGATACAGAGTCCGGAGGCCTGAGTTGCCAAGAACACCGAAAAGGCGAAAGAGGCCGAGGGATGAGGACGGTGATGAGGGTCAAACACGGGAGCGTCGGGTGAAGGAATGAAGAGGTGTCTCGAAAAAAGCCTTGAAAGTAAAGTGTGAGAGAGCAGAGAGGAAGCGCAGAAGGGATCAGCGAGAGAGGAGGATGCGGAGGAGGAGAAGGGCGTAGTGCCTGTCAGCTAGAGGGTTGTAGGAAGGTGCATCATAGTCGGATGAAGGTAGTGACCGAAAGCGTGAGAGTGAGAGGAGGAGTATACACCATAATTGGATAAGGGGGAAGGCTAAGGCTGGGAGAGGGCAAAAGGGAGGTGTATGTCATAAGGGAGCAATGAACCGTAATCGGGGAAAGGGAGCAATAGAGTACTACTGATTAGGAAAACAACCGAGAGCGAGCTCGCCGAGGACGGCGAGAATTGGGGTGTGGGCCGGTTGTCGGGCGGCTGCCTACCAGCCGAACGTTTTTCTTGTTTCAAAAATATAAAAATTGAGCATGTTTTTTTTTTTTTTTTTTTTTTCTGCATGTTTTTGAGATGTGGGTGCATGTGACTTTGGGGTTTTGGCACGATCGTGATTTTTTGGGCTCCTTACTAACCTTTGGAAAGACGGGGGAGGCGACCTGGTCGGTGGTTGTAAGAGGGGGCGGATGCGGACGGAAAACATGGGATTTTGACAGAGCGAACAAATCTTGAGGGAAAGTGGGATCGGGGGAGGGCTCAGGAGGCACGCACCATGACTACCAATGACCGCGGGGCTTGTCAGGGTAGACTCAGGCGGCTCGGTGAAGATCGACGCCGGTACGAGGACCACGGTAAGAGGGCCGCTCGGGGGGGGGTCAACCTCGAAGTAATCAACGCAATACTATGGTGGCCGCAACAGAAGGATACTCAGACCGGTATGATCGGGGTTTCGAGATAAAGCACCGGTGAGGGTTTGGTGTAGTCGCTACAACTTGGTGGTTAGCTCGGTGCTATCGAGCGTGCACGCCTCGGGACCGGCGGAACCAGCTTCGGTGATCGGCATCTCAACATGAGATGGCTGGGCGACTTGCGAACCGGCTTGCGTAAAATGGGGCGTCCCCACTACTAGCGGTATGATAAAAAAAGAGGCATACCAGGAAGAAGGGGCTATACTGCGATTGGTGATGCCACCCTCAGAAGAGGAAGGGAAGCAGACCGGCGGAATGAGATTGAGTTGGGAGGAAACGTCCGGTTGAGGGAGGTTACTGCAGAACTAATAGACTGGGGTGGACTCGCTCGGCATGCTCAGCGATCATCCTCTAGGCAGCAGCACGCAAGACACGACGTCAGCGCGACAGAATGTGGACCAAGCGACGGGAATTGTGCATGGGGCCAACCAAGCCAGTTTAGGACCAAGGTAAGGCGGCGGTAGAATGCGAGCTCCAACCGTTTCTTGTAGATCGTAGGTGTGAGAGCAGAAGGGAGGCGGTGAAGGAGCGAAGCAGGAGAGTGGATTGAAGAAGCAAAAAAAAAAAAAAAAAAAAAAAAAAAAGAGAATTGGGAAAATCTTCGATAAGCCTACGGAGGCCATGATGATTGGAGGAGGGAAGTTGAGGGAGGATCAGTGTGGAAGAGAGCTGGGGAATATGGGGGAGGAAGTTGACATCAGGTGGCGGGAAAATGGGAGCTCCGACCATTTCTTGCGGATTGTAGAGCAGCAGAAAGGTAATGAAGGGGCAGAGCGCGAGAATGGATTGAAGGTAGAATGAAGAGGCGGGCAAAACTGAAAATTGTGAAAATTTTCGGCAAAGCAGTCAGAACTGAAGGTAGCCTATGGAGGTCATGATGATTGGAGGAGGGATATAGAGGGAGGATTGATATGGGAGAAAGAAGGGGGGAAAAAGCAGTATAAAAGAGATGGGAGGCACGGGGGCCGGGGGGAGATACGCACAGACGTATAGATGCTCGGAAGCACGGTGGAGGGATCTCCCACGCAGATCGAGTGCACGTATGCACGGGTGTCCGGAGCTCACTGCAGTTCGCAGCACCGCTCGATAGCGGCCGCTCGATAGCGGGTCAACGACAGAGAGAGAGAGAGGAAGGAAGCGCCCGGCCATTGATCGTGGAGGGACAGAGGTGCTCAAGGTGCACGACAAACCAGTGGATGACAGCGTGAGCCGGTGCGAGGGCGTCCAGAGCTCTCGTCGAGCGCCCGACAGTGCTCGATCTCGAGCCGGCGCCGGAGATAGAGAGTGGGGGGGGCATTCGAGTTCGAGTACCGAGAGGAGCGCTTGGGGAAGGCGAGACACGTGCGCCAATGAGGGAGAGAGAGTCGGCCCGAGTATGAGCAGCAAGGAACACGCACAAGGGAGAGGGAGTGAGCTTGAGTAACAAACGGAGCACACTTGGACCGAGCTCGAGCGACGAGCACGCACGAGGGAAAGAGAGTCGGCCAGGGCACGAGCAGCAAGGAACACGCACGAGGGAGAGGGAGTGATCTCAAGTAACGAACGGAGCAAGCTCGGACCGAGCTCGAGTAGCGAATGGAGTGCGCTGATAAGAGAGACAGTTGGCCCGAGCTCGAGCAGAGAACGGGACACGAACGCACGAGAGACAGTCGGCCTGGCTCGAGCACCGAACAGAGGGGGCGCGTTGGCGAGGTAATCTGCTGCGATCGAGTAGTGAACGAAGCGAGAAAGCAGTGCAGCGGCGCTTAGCCCAGATGGGCGAGAGCGTGAGAAGCAGGACAAGAAGGCAAAGAGAGAGATAAAGGGGGAGAGGACGCTCGAGGAGGCGGTCGCGCCATTAGCACTCTAGGCTACATGCTTGTAGGAGGCGAAAAACGTAGACCTAAGCGGTTGTGTGCAGGAAGCACGTGGCGTGAGAGAGGAAGAGTGTGTATGTGCGCGCGCGCGCGCGCGCGCGCGCGCGCGCGAGAGAGAGAGAGAGAGAGAGAGAGAGAGAGAGAGAGAGTTTCAACCTTCCCTTGACAGGGGGCATTGTGGATCTGCAGACGCTCCGGTGGCCGAGGGGTCCGGCGTCTGAGAAGAACCCCCCCGCTAATTGGGCAGCGAGCTGCACAGTCTTGTATCGTTGAGACTCAGGCGGATGAACACCTTTGTGGCCGGCGGTCTGGAGGGAACTTCTCAAAGGGAATGACAGGTTTTCGATTTCTGTGCAGTTGAATCTGGCCGCGGTAAAAAGCCTGTGTGACCAGTCATCAGAAAAAGAGCTCCTGAGTTGTGGGGTCTGTTCTCGAGTTCTATGCAGTCGGGTCTGTCTACCGGAAAGAGCTCGCATGGCCAGTCATCAGAAAATAGTTTTTCCTGTTCTGAGCGGTTGGGTATGTCTGCGAAAGAGTGCCCGTGTGACCAGTCATCAGAAAAAGAGCTCCCGAGTTGTGGGGTCTGTTTTTGGGTTTTGTGCAGTCGGGTCTGTCTACGGGAAAGAGCTCGCGTGACCAGTCATGAGAAAAAAGTGTTCCGGCTCTGAGCAGTTGGGTCTGTTCGCGATGAATCCTAGTGTGGCCTGGGGTCTGAAAGGAGCTCCTCAAATCGAGCGAGGTATTTCGAATTCTGCGCTCCCAGAATTGACAGTTGACTGGCGGACAACGGGTCAACGCGTAGCTTTATTAGTAGAAAAGGGTTGCAGAAGATGCACCTAGGGATGAAAATAAAGGAGTTAAGATGAACTGGTCATTAGTAAGTTGGCCGATAATAGGGAAATGATAGTATGCAAGTATGTTGAAGGGGTTAATGCATACTTCGGATTGGAGGCAGGGGGGAAAGTGGGAAAAGTTTTGCACTCCCGAACACTCTTAGTGGAGGATAGCCTTCCTTTTGACATGATTCTAGGAACTG